TTCGATTATCGAAATTTTTTTGTTTTAAATCAATTGTCGTATTTCTATCTTTTAAGCCCCTGCTTGATTCCTTTGCTTTACTTTAATTTTTTTCTCATACTAATTTTCAACCATACATTCATACAATAAAATATCATAAATGTAAACGTAAAACTTTTTTTTTTTTTTTTACTTTTTAACCATATATTTCTCCAAAAAGTACCATTCAAAGTTATTTTTAAAATTTTAAATTAAGCTACTTAAACATGAAGTTTTGACGAGAAATGTTGACAGACAACACGTGGCAAATTGCGATTCGCCTTTGTTTAAAAAAATTTCATCTTCTAATGAATGCATACTAAGTGTTGTCTATTAATATTTCCTGTGAAAAATCCCTATTTGAGTAGTTTGATTGTTAAATTTTAAGGCCACCAAACAGGGGCTAAATCTGAAAGAGCCATCCATTCCTATCAATGAAATAATCAAAAATTTGATCCATTCCTATCAATGAAATAATCAAAGATTTGTTTATTCTTTTATATTTGAATAAAATTAGAATTTGAGTCAATGGTAAGAATAGAAAGAGTTAGGTAACCAAAGTCATACTATGCTATAAGGTGGATGACTAATGCGGGAATAAAATATATATACGACCAAATTAATTATTGCAATGATCACTGAATTTAGGTCCATTTATTGTATTGGTCATTGAAATTTAAAATGTCAAGTTTTGGTAGGTAAACTTAGATCCATGTTTCCGATCTCACTAAAATTTAAAATGTTGAGTTTTAGTCACTGAAATTTGGAAAATGTTATACATTACTCACTAGTATAAATGTGGAATTTTGAAAAATGCCTAGTTTAAAGTGAATAAAGAACAACATTTTTCAAAATTCAGTGATCAAAATTCGACATTTTAAATTTCAATGAGTAATCGAAAATATGGACCTAAATTCAGTAATCAAAACTCGATATTTTAAACTTCAATGACTATCAAAGACAAAATTAGCAACGATTGGAACAATTAACTCAAGTAACCGACCAACAATGATCCAATTGAGCAACGGGCCCGGCTAAGCGTACAAGCCCCTATTGTCAGCCTCCAACCTATAAAGGGGCCAGCTCGCCCCCTGTACAAGGGCCCTTTCCCATCGGACAACACTCCATGTCTCACGCTGTCGTCTTCTATGAACCCATACTCGCCTCCTCCAGCTGTCGCGCTATTACGCTTTCAAGAGCACTCTTCTCTATCAGTTGAGCCGCAAAACTACCACGCCAGCCGTCGCTAGAACCATGATGTTACGAAAACAAGCCATCATCAGAGAAAGCCTGGGGAAGAAAGAAGAGAACAAGCAGCCTTGAGATGAAACAAAGGAGGAGGGAAGAAGAGGCAACAACTGTCACTAACTCGATTGGCACATTTTGAGTAGGCTACATACGGTGTCGTTTTGTTTTTCTTTATTTTGCTAAAGTAGTAATAGACCAAAACACCTTTTTACCTTTTCTAGCAACTCTCCATTCTGCTATAACTGTAAAGATGGAGAGATAGTGGGGCGTCATTTGATGTCCGTGAAATATCTTCTCTAAATTTCTTCTTCTTCTTTTCTATTATGTTCTTAGCTCCTCTCATTTCTTATTGATTGTTGTAATTGACTTGGTTATTGCAATTGATATATAGTGGGTAGTGGATTTCCTATTCAGTTTTTGAGTTATTGTTGCTGGTAATCTAGCTCAACTATAACATTTGGTATCAGAGCAGCAACGCAATTTGGGATGGCAGAGACTAGAAGCAAATCTAATGAGGAGCACCTTAAGAAGCTAGACAAGGAAATGGCAAAATTGGGGGTGGCTTTCAAAACGAACTATCAGATGCTACAAGCTGTTTGTACTAGGTAGGACCGAATGGAGCAGATGATGGGATAAATGAAAGCCACACAAGAGTCTATGATGTTGATGCTAGCTCAACTGATTGGGAGTAAGGTTGATGGTAAAGAAAAACTAGTAGAAAGATATGGATCTCAAACCAGTGGTGGTAGCTTTAGAGTAAATGAAATTCATTCTGGTTACACCAGTGGAAACCGAGAGGTTAGATTGGCTACAAAGGTACCCAAAATAGACTTTCCTTATTTTAGTAGAGATGGGCCTCGAGAGTAGCTAAGGAAAGCAAGCAAGTATTTCCAGATTCGTCAGGTAGAAGACGAGATGAAAGTGGGGATTGCTGAGATATATCTGAAGGGAAAGGCCAACGTATGGTTCCATGGATACATCTCTAGCCATCCAACTGCTGGTTGGGATGTCTTTGCAAAAGAGATTTATGGGATGTTTGCAGAGAACACAGCTGAAGAAGTAATAGAGCTATTCAACAAATTGACGCAAAAGGGGACCATGACTAAGTATCAGGAGCAGTTTGAGAAGTTAAAATCATAGGTGATGTTAACTTTGCCCAACCTCCCTAAAGCCTACTAGATATCTATCTTCACCAATGGTTTGAAGGAGGAAATTAAACCAATGGTGAAGATAATCAGACCTACTACATTGGCCAAGGCTTTTGAAGTGGCCATCCTACAGGAAAACACCATAACTGCTCTAAATAAAGGGGCCAGGACATACAAGCCTTACCCACGATCCAAATGGACTCACTCCAATAATAAACCTATGGATCCCATACATAAACCCACCCCCATTGCATCACCCAATTCAAAAATGTCTACCAACCCTCTGAAATTTAAGGCTATTACACCTTCAGATTTTCAAACAAAAAGGGAGTTGGGATTGTGCTACAAATGTGATGAAAAATATATTAGGGATCATGTCTGTAAGAACAAGATGTTAAACTTTATATTGGCGGATGAGGAATGTGCGGAAGACTTTAATGAATTACAGGGGAATGAAGGAAAAGGGTGTAATGGAGGAAAGTGTAAAAAAAGTTATGGAAATCTCTATTCAAACATTGGTGAGGAGCAACAAATCTACAACGATTAGGTTGCCTAGAAGAATTAAAGGGAGAAGAGTATCCATATTAATTGACAGTGGGAGCACCCACAGTTTTATTGATGAACGATTAGCCCAAAGCATTCAATGTAAAATGGAACAAACTAAGTATACCTCTATTACGGTAGCTGAAGGGGATAAGCTAATTAGAAGGGCCATTTGAAATCCATAAAACTAGGAGATACAAGGACTAGAATTCCAATATAAACTAAGGGTGTTGAAACTCGGAGGGAGTGATATGGTATTGGGAGTGGATTGGTTAAGTCAATTCAACCATGTGTTGTTTGATTTTAATAGAGGGAGCATCACCTTCATCTATGAGGGCAAAGAGATGAGTTGAATTGTGAAACAATTAAAAAAGAAGTTAGGATGATGAATGATAAAGAAGATAAGCAGTGGTTCAGGAATCACGGCTATGGGTTAGTGGTTCAGATCACTGCTACTACA